TTCCAGGATGGCGACGAACGTCTCTTATGCAGCACAATCGGCCCCGCCGTGCCATTGTGTCGGGTTCATCTCCGGATTGCCCATCCCTTCTAGGATGGCGACGACCATCTTATGCAGCACGTCTGCCTCTCGGCGCTGACATGCCCGGGTTATCGATGAGAGCCACCGCTTTCTATCACATCTCACATTCCTTCTCTCATACATTGCACCCATACATTACATGCATTCATACATTCATGCATCATACCTCATACATTCATACATGCACACGTGCATCATGTTTTGACAGTACCGCGACGTCGGTTTATAGATGCATGGACCTCTAAGCTTCTCCGATTGGAAAGCTCGAGTCAGAGTCCTTTACTCTCGCCTGATGCATTCAGGGGGAGTGTGCCCGTGGAGGAGCACCTTTCTCCCGACCCCGTCGGGAAGGGGGGTGCCTCACCGGCAGATTACGTTCAGGAGTGCAGACACCCACTCATATATTATGATTATTCGAAGACACAGGTTCCAGCTAGACAGAGGAAGAGCGCAGGCAAGAGTATATTTTCTCGAGCAGATTCGCACGCTCACTACTCAAGAAACTGGGAGACTTGTGTTGGGATATATTATCCCGGCCTATTACTGTTCAGGAGCCCAAGATATTATCCAGTACGGAGCCCGAGCAGCCAGACCCACTTTGGTCATTAGGCCCGACATCGGCCCGTTTGGTCCATTAGGGTGGAGTACTTCCCTCACCCCTTTCCCTATTTATAGGAGGCTTTCCCTCCATGTAAAGGAGGCTCTGTTAGCTTCATCTTCCTCCTTCTTTTAGACTTAGCTCAATACTCCATTAATGGGAGCTTGTACAATGTAATTGTGAGGAGACTCCTAATGAGAAAGAGAGGGCTTGGACATTAGCCTAAAAAGTCCCGTGGTTTTCTCCCTTTCCGGGTTTCCACGTAAAAATAGCTTGTTCATACACATTTATACATATATTTACTATATTGTGTTGGATTAAACTCAACACATATATTGTTGAGTTAGACGTTCTATTCCATTTAGGAAGTACTTAGGGTTGCTATTTAAAAACACCATCGTTCTAGTCCTATGCCTCTCCTAATTACGTATTCGCAGTCTTCCATTTTAGCCTTGTTGATCATTCATAGTAAGTGTCTCTCATACATAGAGGTTATTCATGATTAAAATATGAGAAAAAAAAGTGTTATATAGTCTTTATTTTCTCATGATTGAGTACTTGAATTATGTAACAATTACTGTTATTCCAGTTGTCTTTTATATAGTTTGTAGTTTACTCATGGTCCAAGTCTTATTAGTTATTTTTAAGAATGGTAATGAGTTTGTCTGTTTTTTTTAAAGCATCACATGTAATTGAGTTTACATGAGAAGAAGAATTTCAGTAAGCATACAAATTAGTTTGTTATGTATTTTTATATATTATAAAAAAAAATTATAAATACCCATGTTATTACATTGTCTTATTCTATTTTTGAAAGAAAAATGAAATAAAATTTGAGTTATAAGTTATAGCTTAATTTAATTTTTGTGTAAAATGTTGAAACTCCATCTTGGATTTGGAAAGTTCTCAAGTGATGGATGCAAATGTTTTATCAAACGTATCATAAGTTGCATGATTTTCTGGAAGTTTTGAATGTCGGTATTTCATGTTTGGAGTCTTGAGTTACTGGGAGGGCCCCTCATCAATTTGATGATTCCAATATTAGATACCGGTGGTCAAACTCCGCTTTAATATATGATCAATGATCAGCTTATTCAAAATTATGTGGTCTTCAATTTGCAAATGCATATTTGTTTAAATTAAGTTTTAAAGTGTGTGTTGAGTAATTATAAAATGTGTTTAGTGGTTTCTACTAGAAGCTAAATAAGCAAAATCTGTTAAGTGAATAATTAAGTTTATTATTTAGCTATTTTCTCAAAAGTTTGTTCGAAAAAAGATTGAGTTTTGCATAGGCCTTAAAGAATTCTTATTTTCTCAGAATATTTTTCAGCTTTCAGCAATAAGATTCAAACGATATGATATTGTATATTATATATTTTACCAAGGCCGTCCTCATATGATTAGTTTTACCCTTTGGTTCTTAAAAGATACGTGTCTCGCCACTTAAAATTCTTTAGAATGACCTATCATTAGAGTCTACATACGTGATTCAAAAGGTTTTAATAGTATCTAGTTCTTAGAAGTTAGATTAGTAGAGATGAGTGGAAGGATTTGGTCAAACCAGTCTCTGATAAATCATGAGTCTTAGAACCTGCTGCATAGTGCACACTATAATATAGGGATTTGTGAAGAGTGTTTCAATACAGTATGATCGAGGGTATGAAGATTTCAATAGAAGAAAGAATACGGTACCATCGAGCTTTCTTATAGCCATTATGTACGAGTATTTGTAGACTGTACCCCAATGAGCTCGTACGGGTAGCTGGTATGCTCTTTGAGTAATAGAAGTATTGGTGAGAATAAAGAGTATAAAGAGTTTGGCACCTCAAACAATTCTTTTGTTATGAGTCATCAGCAACTCAAGGGCTTGAACCCCAACAGTTGAGTAAATTAGTACTAGTCAAAGTTAAGAATATACGAAACCAGTAAGAAGGATATAGCTATGATTTTAGATTTTCTTTTGAAAGATATTAGTGTAGATTCCTTAATCAGTTTATTATTTCTAATTGAAATCTAAAGAGCATAATAACGAGGCTGTGTAAAAAAAAAAAAAAGAATTCTGACTTAGAATTTCACCGCAGAAAATTTATTTGTTTATTCTAAGTTAATCTTAGATACGTTTGTCAGTTTGTATGAAATTATGTCTTACTTACCGCTCGACTTCCTTATTCTTGAAGGCTGTATAAACTTTATCACTATGAACGAACTATACTTCCTAAGTTATATAGTTAGAAGGAATCATACTGTGGAATATTAGCGAAGAAGTAACTTTTGATAATGAACGGCCCAAAGGAAGTTTACGATTAAAATATTACTCCCTCCGTCCCAGGGAGAAGTTCCCGGGTTGACTTTCACACATATTAAGGAAATAAAGTTACTGGGGGTAAATTTTACTGTTTGGCACTGTTTCGACACTGTTTGGCACTGTTTCGACACTGTTTTGCACTGTTTTGCACTGTTTGGCACTGTTTTGATGTAGAATAACTTTCCATTTAGGGAAATGGGAACTTCTTGTTGGGACTGCCAAAAAAGGAAATTGGGAACTTCTCCCTGGGACGGAGGTAGTATTATTTTTGTCTCGTATAGACTACATGTATGAACATAACACATTTTTATTAGTGAAGAGATGAAGGGTTTTGATGGTCCCGGATAGAGGTAAAAGTCTAGAGGGGGGGGGGGGGGGGTGAATAGACTTTTAAATCTTTTTCAACTTTATGAAGTTTTCCCTCTAGATGAGTTGATCTATAATCTTTTAAGAGATTAATAGATGCACAGCGGAAGTCTTTAACCTCTTTATACTTAGTGTGAGATAACTTTCTAGTTTAGATGATGTTTAGACTGGTTACAAGAGGAAGTAGGCTTGACAGTAGACTGGTGAGCAGGTAACTGCTTAGTCTACTGCTGCACAGGCAGTTTGCTGACTGGCAGGCAACTGCTGAGTTGGCAGTCGGCTGGTGGGCAGGTTACTGCTGAGGCAACTGTTAAGAACAGGATGACTCTTGGATGGCTTTTTGTTCTGGCTTGTTATGGCGTTCAGAAAGACACATATGGATGGGCAGTGGGCTCAGCAGGAGGGTGAAGACCAGGGTACTGCTGAGGCACCTTCTGAGTGTGAGATAACTTCTAGTGGAAAACACTCTCAAGGAGAGTGAGTTATTAAGCAGTAGGCTAAGCAGTACAGTCGATGAAGACTACTGCTTAGGATGCTGCTGGCAAACTACAATCCTTTAGTGAGATGTGTTTGGTGTGTGCTCTGCATGTATGAAAGTAAATCAACACACGATATATCCTGGTTCAGAGGTGGTGTAATCCTCCTACATCCAGTCCCACCCTATTTCAGATGGATTTCCACTAAAGTATTCAGCCCAATACAATTAGTGCCAATCTAGCCTTGACAACTCTGGCCTAGATTGAAGGTTTTTCACGATGAGTATAACACCACTCAAAGTTACTCAGTCCTTAAGACTTTTCTCGATTGATCCAGTGGGGATCAAAATGTACTCTATCTATCTAACCACACTATAGGATCCGAACAACTCTTCTCCTAAGTGTTTACAACCACTTGTAAAATACAAGGAATTTCTGGCCTACCAACTAAAATCTAAGCTCTAAAAATATGACAATTTATGATCTAATCTAAGAGCTTAGTGAAGCATGAGTCAAAGCAGAGTGTTCAAGCACTTTCTCTTTTGCTGGATATGCGTAGTGTAATGACTGAACCACTTGCTTTGAACTCAATGACTTGCTTTTGATCTCATGCTTCTGCCTATTTTTATAGGCATCTCCAGTAGATTAATCTCCTCCGTTGGTTAAGAGGATTTAATCCTAGACGTCCAAAGTGTTGTACTTGCGTCTTCTTGTGTTGGAGCAGGATAAGGATTTGTCTTTTGAAGACCACTTGCTTTGTACGAAGATAACACCCATACCTTAGGCCTTCTTATCGCTGCATGCCTATTCTGAAACTTCTTCACTATTTACCCATTCTGATGTCTTCTCTGCTCTTGCATTTTGGCCTTGTCTTGCAACTATACTCGTGAAGCTGAGTGCGTGAACCTGCTTAAGTTTAAGTAGTGAAGTAGTAAAATGTGTGACTTAGAATATTTTGTATCAAATAAATTTTGTACTGGTAGGATCTTTGAAATATCCTATTAAGGTAATAAGATTACCTTATTGCATTTTGTTCTTTCCAGTACAATTTATTTGGTACAAATTTCACAGTAAAATTTGTCACTTATTTTACTAATCACTTTCTTTCTTTAAGTGACATGATTAAACTTATGTACCAAATTAAAGCTATACTGGTTGGATCTAAATATCCATGTAAGGTAAATATTTTTTGGATGAAATGTAAGTGTATATATAAAGCACCCAAAAATTAACATATTACAATGTATCAAGTCCAAATCAAAACCGCTATCTAGGCAAGAACGAACTATCCTAAATAACATGCATCACAAAAGTAATAAAATTGGGACAACCCCCATATCACCAAACGAAACTAAAATCACAAAATACTCCACTAATGAAAGGTGAAGCTACGGCTAAGTAACTGCCTTCTCCCTCAAATCCTTGCCAGAACATTTCTTCTTCTTGGTAGCAATATCAACTGGTGCACTCCCCACCGTTGCGTCCTTTAGTACGGTTGCTTCAATTGTTCCACCCTCCTCAATAGGTACTGTGGCAGTTGGTATTATAGGCACCATGGCATCCATTTCTTTTTCCACCTGCTTTCCTGGTTCAGTGTGAATCTCCCCCACAATTTCCTTTAATTTTCCCTCTTGAGTTTTCTTTGATATGCTAATAAGATCTTTCTCTCCTTCTTTGATCAAATCACTTTCCCCCTTCTTAGGTGCTAGTTTTTTGCAAATAAATGGGTGGTGCCCATAAACTTTGCAATGGAAGCAGTAGTTGGGAAAAGTTTCATACACCACATTTTGGTTGACCACTTTACGGCAAGATAGTCGTATGGGAAATGATAGCGGAGGTGGTTGTGAAACATCAACCTCAATTAAAACCCTAGCAAATAAATGGTTGCTTCTATCTTGAGTAACTTTGTCCGTAGATAAAGGAACCCCAACCATAGAAGCAACCTCGCTCATTGCCTCCTCATTCCAAAGCTTCATGTGCAAGTTAGGAAATTTAACCCAAATGGGAACTTTAAGAAATTCATCATCGTCAAAAGAAAAGTCTTCTGAGAGTGCTTTAAGCATGAGTTGTTTACCAAAGATGGTATATGGACCCCCCCCTCAACACTCTTGTTCTATCCTCATCATTTTGAAATTTAAAAATAACCCACCCTTTTTCATGGGTCTTAATGATGCAACTAACACCCCACGTACTCTTTAAATCATAGATAGCCTTAAGCCCGGGGTATTTGCCGGTAAAGAATCCGACTAAGCAAAAACCCCACATCTCCACCATAGTGGGCAAAGTTCTGTCCGAAAAGTCCAAAGATTTGCCATTTGGCGGAATATACCTCAATTTGAGGCCTTTTGAAGGGTCTCGGTTGTCCTTGAAGAGGGATGTCCAAGCTTTATCCTTCGTAACATTTGCTGGAATAAGTTCCAGTTCGTCCAAAGTCTTATCTAGACCATTAGTAGTTGTCTGTACCAACGGCTTCTCCGGGCTAATGGCAGGGAGTTCATGGGCATCTTTCCCTGCAGTGTCCAAGATCACCCTCTCAGTCTTACCAAGAAGCTTATTGGCATCAGCTTTCAGACGTTTATCCATTGCATCAAGGCGGGATCTAATATATTCAGGATCTGGGTTATCAGTGCCCTCCAAAGTTGGAAACTCTTCATCTGTGACCTCCAACACAGAGAATCGGGAAGATGATCTAGTCGATCGAGCAGCAGATAGTCCTCCAATCCCCAGCTTTTTCCTTGTCATCCCCGCACACCTTACAGGTCGTTTCAGGAGACCCCAAAAACACCAACAAAACGCAAATCCAGAAACTCTGGCTCGACGATGAACAGTAGCAGATTAGGTTACAACGAAGCTTCCTCTACTCTAGAAATAAATTTCTAGTAACAGAAACTTCGCCTTATGGAACAACACAATAGAATCCAGAAACAAACTCAAAAATCAACACTTTCAACAGAAATCAAATTTGAGGTGAACAGTAAAATCGCGAATTTGCAGTTCGATTTTGAGTTCTCTGTCGTAATTCATGACTCCAATTTCTAATCCAAACTTGGAGTTGAACTCAGGGATGAAAACCGACCAACAAACAACAAGAATCCGAAGCCAAAGACATCATATATCCATAGATTCAAGCACCTTATAAACTGTACGGACGAAAAAAGAGCTGGGACGGGAATGTACCCAGGAGAGAGACTCTCTCAACTTTTTTCACCTGAGTTGATAAATTCTATGATTAATTCCATGTAAGGTAAATAATTTTTACCTTATTGCATTTTATAGTTCCAGTATGTTTAATCTGATACATAGTTTGTACATTGGAGTTTTTGTCACTTTTAAGCACTTGTGTAGTTTAGCAGGTATTGTGTACAACTTGACTGGTAGGATAACAAATCCTATTTAAGGTAAAAGTTATTACCTTATTGCATTTTGTGTTCCAGTCAGTTGTTCACTATTCTTGTTCACTTTGATTTATCTATATATCAAATAACACTTTACTGGTTGGATTTAAATATCTAATTTTAAGATAAAGACAACTTTACCTTATTTCATTTTGAATCCCAGTGTGTTCTATTTGTTATATAGAATTTACATTGTTATTTGTTGTAGTGAACAGAATATCAAGAACTCTTATTCTGAGTGTATGGTTTATCTAGTATTTCGAACATGATAAGCTAAATATTTAACTGGTAGGATATCAACTCCTATTAAGGTAAAATTAGAAGATAAAATTACCTTATTGCATTTTGTTTTCCAGATAAAATAGATAGCTCATTTGTACGAGATGTTATTGTGTGTAACAAATAAATCTAACTGGTTGGATTTATACGATATCCTTTTAAGGCAATACAATATTGCCTTATTGCATTTTATGGTTTTCCAGTCATATTTATTTGTTAACTATATAAAAAGGAGCACGACACATCTAGATAATTTTCTTAGTACTAGACAACTGCAAGATGCTACAACAGAGGATAACAAAGACTCCTATAATAATGCTACAATAGAGGGGGGAAAACAAAAGCTTTTGGCATCATCAAAACAGTTCATCAAAATCTGGGGTCTAACAGGTTTAATTAAAAAAAATAGTACTTTCCTTTATCTGTCTACAGCTGAATAAGTAAGCTAAGAGATTAGAATTATGAAGTAATTATTTTCAACTTTGCGAGCAAGTATAATTGCTACAGCGGAAATTATAAAGTCATTGGTGAAAACAAAAGAATGCCTGTTGTCAGGTATTTTCGTACCTGACATTTATGTGTTTGACAACGTCAATTTTTGGTTAAACAGAACATTTATGGTGTCGTTCTGTTAAGAAACATGAAAACTTGAAATTAAGCAAACCACTCCTTTAATGTTGACATCTTAATGTTAACCTACATAGTGAGTTTCTAGAGGGAGTCCAAGAAGATTTAGTTTCAAAACATATAATATTATTTATTCACAAAAGATGTAACCACCGGAGATTTTAACTTTTCTCATAGATATTAAGACTATTAATTAGTTCAATTGGTAAATTGTGTTCACAGATGGGATATGATAGGTGTTCACCTCATGAGAAATAGTTGTTCTTTTCAAAATTGAAATCCTAAGATAAAATGAAAAATCTTATTTAAAATTTGATTCAACTTCCTGACTACTTCGGGATACTAATCAATGAAGTTATAGTTTTGGGTTCCAGAGGTAAAGAACCATAAGAAAGTTTTTCTTTTTATGAAAAGTTGGATTCCAGAGGTATAGAACCATAAGAAAGTTTTTCTTTTTATGAAAGGATAACTTTGAGATGCTTGAGTGGTTTAAACAAAAAGGGAGAGTTTAGTAGTTAATCTATTTTAGACTTTAAAAATAATTTCTTTGGATATAATAGGTAAGTCAGATTATGGTGGATTGTTAAAAGAATATGCTTTAGAAAAGATTTTTTTGCAGAGAGCCACCTTGACAACAAATAGTACAAGTGTAACATAGCAAAATAATGATTCTTCTTTCCCAAAATTTTAAATGATGTGCTAGATCCGAGTACTTTCTAACGCATAAGAAGAAAAGATATCTCAAGAATCCAACACTAAATATATAATACTATGTTAGTATCATTACTGAGTATAACCATCCTTAAAGTTTTGAGGGTTACATATGAGTCTCATGACATTGCTATCATGAACAATTTGTGAGATAGCAATCTGTTGGACAAAAGCGATAAAATGGTGGAAGCACGAACCAAGTCTTCTCCCCGAGGAATATTCATGAGCACGCAGGCTCTATAGTAAAATATCCATGAGTAAATTTATTAATGTTTCAAACAGAATGGAGGAAGCACGAACCAAGTCTTCTCCCCGAGGGATCACCCGATCAACGAGCACAGGATGCAAGCTCTAGCCTCAACCTGAAATGGTGGTGGGACGCCCCCGAAGGGGTCAGTACTCTATACGGCTATAAAGTACCGGTGTGTGACAGGCATCTAATAGATATACAACAAGTATTTCAAACACAAGACCCTCAAATAGGGTGATAGTACATTATGATTTGTAACCCTAAGTTACCCCGTTTGAAAATATACTTACTTTATGTAAAAGTCAAGTAGTCGGCCCGTGGGCCCATGTTCATTTAGAAGTCGCCGTTCCCATTCCCCGTGGCTATAAGCCACGACAACTCATAGAGTCCAACCCTAACACGTGACATTGTATTCTAGAGCTCGGCTCTACCACATCACCATACAATTCATGTCACTCGGGTCAATTTCCTTACCTTGCGTTCTAGAGCTCGGCTCTATCACATCACCACGCAAGCCCTAGAGCTCTGCTCTAGCTATTCAATACATAGACTACAAGTCTACCACCTTACCATGCATCCTAGAGCTCGGCTCTATCACATCACCATGCATGAAGGTCCAATTCTTAAGCAACCCCATGCCTAGAATTGACATATCAATAAACTACCATGGGTCATCCTTAAAGACTTCCCACCACTTAACCTTAGTTTCATACTAAGTCATCATACACACTTGAAGTATATTCAAGTGCATTTCATACAATCCAATCCCTAGGATCAATTCCATCAACAATTTCCAATAATCACTAACTAGTATTTCAATACTATTAAGATTATTGTTATCATACATATATGCTCATTATTTGTAATCCTCTACATATTTATAATTATGTAGCAGCAACTTAAGTGTTCAATCTCAATACATAAACATTCATTTATGTACCTACATAATTCATACATGAGTAAAATGTCTATTTCACAAAATAGTTCATTTATAACTCATTTAATCTCATTTTATTCATACATTCTCAAATCATTTCCAATTTCATTCTTTGGCAACTATATCCATATTTCATCATTATATAATCATCATAATCCATAAAAATTATGATTTAGGAATTTAGGTAATCTCATGCTTAACCTACAAGTTGTAAGCAATTAGATGTCAATCCTCACCTCAAATGAGCTTTAAGACTTTCCTTCTCGATCCAATGACCAAAGCCTCGGCCAAGGAAGATTGAGAACTGATTCCTTGCTTGGAATTGAGTGTTAAACAGCCTCTTCAAAGTGCTAGTTCAACTCCTAACCGAAGACACAAAAACAGTCCCTAGAACGGGTGTTTCCCGACGAAATCGTTCCCTAACTTTGAATACAAAAAACGTATCCTGCGAGGTCGTGTTTTGCTCGGTCGATTTGGAAGCCTTCCACTACTCCGATTGATGCAAACCAGACCTTCACGGATTCCTCGTCTTGAGAGCTTTCTGTTGGTATCTCGCACGCCTTATTTGGATGAGTAAATCTCAAGTTATGGCTCAAACAATCAGAGCTACGCACTGAAGAACGAACCTGTGGACTGCTCTCCTCCTTCCTTCTCTCTTGGGTTGTGTGGATTCCCTTGCTCTCTTATCTCTTTTGGGGGTTCGAATGGGGTGTAGGGGGAGTGTATTAGGAGACCCTAAACATGCTAAAAGAGTATGTGGCTCACAAAAGAACATGGAAGATATTTGGTTTGCAATCAAATATGGGGTGGACCTCCCCCTTTTGTTTTCTCTTGGAGTTTTTGTGCATGTGAGCCAAGAGTCCGCCCCATATAGTCTTCTCACCTCTTTTCATTTGTTTTGCAGGTACTAAGTCCATGTGGAATGGTTCCCAATTGATCCCATTCATCTTGGGGTCCAAAATATCTACCAATACTTCCAAAAATAGGAAGATGGGTCCTATTGTTTTATCTTTTGGCAAAGATGTCTTTTTGTACTCATCCTAATTTATTTAGAACAAGTCAACTTCCTAAATCACATTATTGATCTCCAATATGTGTAGGCTCATCTCAATAATTTACTTGATGGATATTATAGAAGGAAAATCCTACTCCCATTATTTAGCTCAATAATGCCAAAGATTTGGTTATAGGCATTTGTATTCTTCTTTAGTCATTCTATCACTTTTTTGACATTTGTCATACATATTATTGGGCTACTAGCCGTGTGGGTCACTCCCGAGTGGGTCTAGAACGCCATTCCCGAATACTTGCTATTTTTAGCAGGTTGGGCCCAAAATAATGCTTGGGCCGCCCGACCTTCCTCAAATTGTCTTGAAAGATTATGTATCACTATTTGGATAATGTTGGTCTCTTTTATTTATTAATAAGTCCCGAATAAGTATTTGTAAAACCGACACTAATGTACGAGTTTGAACATTACGCTATTTAAACATGCACTACGTAGAACATTAATCATTTACAATTGTTTGGAGATCGGAAATTCAATACATAAATTTGAATTTAAGTTGAATTTTCAAGGACGTTCGGGTGCGGTGTCACAGTTTTGGTGTAGAAGCGCACAACAGAATTGCGCTAAAGCTAGCGTCTATGTTCAGACAATGAAGGAGAGTACACTTCCCGAGAGTTCTCAGCATATTGCGCAGCATATGGAATCAGACACGAGAAGACGGTTCCACGAACTCCGATCCACAACACAATGGTGTAGCCGAAAGAATGAATCAGTCCATTATGAAGAAAGTTCGTTGCATGCTGAGTATGGCTAAACTACCTAAGCCATTCTGGGGTGAAGCTGTGCTGACAGCTTGTTATCTTATAAACAGATCACCTTCTGTTCCTTTAAACTTTGAAGTGCCAGAGAAGAAATGGACAGGAAGAGATGTTTCTTACTCTGACTTGAAAGTGTTCGGGTGCAAGGCATTTGCATATATGTCCAAGGAGTTGAGACAGAAGCTTGATCTCAAGTGAAATGGGGATGTACTCATATGACTATCAACTTTGTATCATAGTGAAATGGGGATGAGTCTAGTCACTTATGTCGAAACGAGTGTATCAATGCTATGCGTTTCACTTTGTGACCCATTTTATAAATACCCAATTTATAAATTACACTCAATTTGTAATACACAAATTTTAACAAAATACATCTATACACGACTCGAAAATTGGGTAAATAGGCAGTATACGAAGTTAAATTGGGTTACTCACAATTTACTAGTATCAATTACATATGTTTAATCCATATAACTTGTAAGTTTCTACACGTGACAATGTATATATCCCTTTTTTCAATTTGAGATCCATTAGTGTACACCCATTTTTAAACTAATTATCCGTGTCCAAATATAATAATTTGG